GGAATTCTCAATCTCAGTTCTGTATAGTAACTATATTTTCAAAACTGTACCTACAATCAAAAGAGTTGGATGGGGAAGTTGGAAAAGCCTTCTATAATAGATTTGGGAATGCCTATATGTGAATGAAGGTGTTTTCTTTTGTTTTCTTATGTGCTCTTCTGCAAAGTTATGGCAGAACTGGCTGCAGAATAAACATGGAAAAATATTTAGCCCAATTCCCTATTCGCAGACCCCATTTCATCTCTAATAAGAACCAACATAATGAAATGAAAACAAACCTCAGATTCCTAGGGTTTAAATTTGAGAACAAATCTCAATTATAAAGAGAGCATGCCAACGCTGACAACAGAACTCTTTTCAAAAATACAATTCATTTCTCCATTATTTATTATATAACGACAAAAACAAATTGTACCCAAATTCCACAAAGAGGAAGACTGTCAATCCAGCAATGTGAAAACTTGAACACCACATGTCGACAGCTTGTTCTGTACACAAAGGCAGCAAGGTGACTGATGGTTGTTTCCTGATCCATTTTCAGTAATCATCAGTGTAAGTAATCAAACAAGTAATCATCAGTGTAAGTACTTCTCACAGTGAAGGGCTGACTCCACTACTAGATGCAGGACCAAAAGCAGGACATAACCCAGGGCAACTGACTGTGAGAAACAAAATAATAAAAACAACCTCTAAGCAGTTTAGAAAGTTGGTAAGTGGTTTTCCCTTTCTCTTGGTGATTTTTATTTCCTCCAAGCAGTATGAACCAAGAAGCCCACTGCCTTTTTGCACTCTTTAGAAGCATTTTAACAGAAGTCAATTAAAGCTTTCAAGGTTAACCTTATTCCTAAATTTAAAAATATGCCCTCTTAACAGTTGTTTCCAAGGGAAAATGTCCAATATTAGATACAAACAAAACAAAACCACATTGCTGTTTATCAGTGATTCTTAATGTTCCTATAATTGTAGTTTATAGTATTATAGTATCAAATATCCATATCAGCTGCCAAGTTTCAGGTTGACTTGCCTATAAATTATTCCTCATACCACTACTAGAAAGTAGCCCCACCAGTTCCTCCTCTTTTCTTTTTCCTCCACAACAATTAAAAACACATTGAAAACATTCCAAGTCCCAGCCAAACAATGAGATTATGCAGATGGGAACAGTAAATGCCTACAGTACACATGTGTGCAAACTGAACACCCTTAGACCATTTAAGAAATACGCATATGATAATCATCATTTGGTAAAAATTATATTTGGTGAAATCACAGCCACATTTAGTTACAAAGACCCATTATAAAATGTGACAGATTTCGATTGTCTGCTTCCCACATCCTAAAATTGAAACAGTCAGAGGAAAAAATGGTCTTATGTATGAAATCTTCTTATCAAACTGACTGGATTGATTGGCCTGGGATTGATTGGCCTGGGATAAGTGAAAAATAGGATAACAACAACTCTCTCTTTGTATCAGCCACAATATTGCTTGAAATCCGATGTGGTTTTTTGCTTTGGACTGGCTACCCTAAAAACTAGACTAATAAAACCACAGCCTTCTTATGACCTAGACAAAGAACAAATACAGAATGTGACATTTTGTGTAATGATCCTAAAAGGGAACCAGTTATTTCAAATATTAGCCATCTTCAAAACATTAATTCCCAAGTATACTTCCCCTTGTCTAGAAAAGTATGTATTAGACTTAGCAAAGAACTCAAAATAAAATATCAACTCATCTCCTTTACCAACTGTAACTGTTCTCATTATAGCTGTAACCGCCACATCCTCTCTGTATTTGCATTCCCACAGCTAGTGTTTGAAAGCTCCTCAGCGAGCACATTTGGTTCATAGTTCCCACATGCAGAAGGATGTAGGATGTGCAGACATCCTACAAGCACATGCTGATCATTAAACAACTCATTTTACCAAATGGCTATATCACACACAAAATTATTCAAATTTCTTATAATTTCTGACCTTTGCCAAGTTCTTACACCTTAGTCTGTTACAACTCTTTCATCGTGCCCTGAAAAAGCCACATTGTAGGTTTTTATTTTTTGTAATGGGCTTTGAAGCAAAGGGGAAAGAAAGATGAAAAAACATAAGAGGCCAGGGCGACAAAAGAAACCCAAAATTCAACTGTGCATTATAAACAATGGACCAGAGTCTGATCTCAGTTATACTGGTGAAAATTCAGAATAACTTCATTGACTTCAGTGGAGTTCCTCTAGATTTAAAGCAGTAGTGCAAAAGGTCAGGCTTTGACCTAATTAAAAGTCAAAATCATAACTAGACAAAATAGATACCTGATAATAAACCCGTTAAAATTAAATAAAAGGCCCATGTGCACCCTGCATTCATAAAAGGATTATGACAAATTTCAGCACACATGGATTCATGCAAACTATAATATAGACCTTCTATGGAAAAATGAAATTTGAGCAAATTTGAAAACGGCTAAATACATGCGTGCACCTGTGCTCCAAATGTCAAAACTAAAATATAAAGGAAAGTTAATCATCTGTAGGCAATTTTTCATAATACACTGTTGTGCTGGTACACTGTTTTGGGAAAGGGTAAGAGAATAACCAAACATCCAGATATAGTAATCATATATTCCATTAAGCAGGGTCTGATTTTCTTTTTTTTTTCCCCTAGAGCGAACCATACAAATTATCTTACTCCTTTCACGCAATTTAGGCTCAAGCTACACTACCATTGTTGAGTTGCTAGTATTATATAGGGCATAACATTATTATTAATTATCATTATTCTATCAGTATCCACAATCTGTTAGGCACTAACATGAAGATACTGCCTCTGCCCTGGAGAATTTACATGTAAGAGCCTGATTCTCTACTTCCTTGCACCGCATGTAGTCATTTATCCCTGCAACCCTATCACATAATATCCGTAAACCCATATTAAGATTCATAGGCATTCAAAACTATTTCACAATTTCATTGCTTCCTCAATTGTTTTAGAAGAGTGTTTTATGCAGGATGAAGAGAGATTAATGATATTTGGGCATTAATTTTTAATAAACAACAAGTGCTTTAAACTGGTAGAGCACTGAGAGAATGCAAATGGAATGTTATCCTTGCAAGTGTGCTTGAACTTTATAAAATACCATATTTCTGGCCCTAGACCTTTAACAAGGAGGGCTTCTTAAAGTCATTGGGGGTCAGAAGTTTAGTTTATTCAGCAAGAATAATACTATTAAGAGCTACTGCTCTTTCATGTCACCACAGTTAACACCCACACATTTCAACACTGGTTAATGCAGACCAGTAAAGGGAAGATTGGAGCTGCTAAGGACAGCCATCTCTGCTGGAATATTCTAAAACAGAATTTATACTGTGCTTTACAAACAATCTAAAAGGATCAATCTGCCTTATGAATCTGTTGTAGACATACACAGAGAGAAAGATGGATGGATGAGAGCATATAAAAGCAGGTAAATCTGACTCGCTATATTGATTTTTCAGAGGACACTGTAGAGCACTTTGGTGAGCTCTTATATATCATGGCAAAGGACCAAATGCCATTGTGCATATATCTCAAGGATGTCAGGATATATTATCAACTGATGCACTGTTGTATTATTTCATTATGTACTTTTATAAATAATCTGGTTTTCATTGCAGAGGAAGTTAAAACCACTACAAACTGAATACACTCAAAACAAACAGGAGACAATACTCACAATAGGATCTTTTAGTAGCTTTTAGCCATAATTTGGGAAATACCTTATTATTAGTTATTACATCAAAACTTGCAATGGTTTGAAGTACACATACAGTATTTCTATACAGAAGCTTCCCGACTTACGCAAGCATTCCGTTCCAGAACGCCTTGTGTAAGTCAAATTTTGTGTAAGTCGGGAACATATCTCCAACAATTACACGCCCCCCCCCCCCCCAAAAAAAAGCTTACAGAACTTTTTCCATAAGTCGGTTTGCGTAACCCAGGGAGCGTCTGTAATTAACAACAGGAAGCTCAAATTTTAATAATGAGCTTTTAAAAACCAAAACGGAAAAATCTGCATATCGCAGCATAATCCTCTCTCTATTTACTTCATTCTAAATCACCAGCCAATCAACATCTCATATTCCCCAAAGCTCTACAGCACTCCTATATGACCAAGTACCATCTAAGGATATTGGAGAAATCAGACTGGGTTAGCTAGCCCTTCTGCAACCAATGGAACATTCCTTTTAAAACAAAAATATTTTCTCCTTAAAACAGGTTTCAAACAAGCAAAAGACAAATAATTGATAACATAACATAGGAATAATTTTAATACGGGTCTTTGGAATAGCTTTTATTATATAAACATGCAGTATTGATCAAGGTGCCTGGGTGCCAGAATTGCTCCGTTTTATAGTTTTCACTTGTACCACTCATAGGAGCACACTCATAATATACGTACCCCTCAAGAAAGACACATAATAAAACTCTATTTTGCTAATGAGTTCTTAATATTATGATTAACTACATCATTAATTGAACATTCAGTCTTATACAAAGTCAGTTAACACAACACTTTAACAATAATGTTTTTAAGGATATGAACAGGCTCAGGGCATGGCTACACTGGAAACTTCAAAGCGCTGTTGTGGGAACGCTCCCGCGGCAGCGTTTTGAAGTGCGAGTGTGGTCGTGCATGAGCGCCCAGCGCCCCTGGTAATCCACCTCCACAAGGGGATTAGCTCCCAGCGCTCAGAGCCTGTTTACACTAGTGCCTTTAAAGCGCTCAGACTTGCTGCACTCAGGAGGGTGATTTTTCACCCCCCTGAGCCAGCAAGTTAGAGCGCTATAAAATGTAAGTCTAGACAAGCCCTCAGTAACATTTATAAAACTGTGAGAGACACTGCAGGTGATGGGAGTTGAATAGTCTTGAACCACCTCAGACAGGTACCACAGGGTAAGTCCCCTAATATACCTATCTAATATACAAGCCTAATGAAAAAAAACAAAACAAACAAACACAATTTACCTTCTTCGGTTTCATGCCACACAATCCCTTCCAAGTTCACACTGGTCCCAGGCTCACAGGGTCCAAGGCATTCGGGTTCTGTTACTACTCCAACCTCGCAAGTATTTACACCCACTGAACGAGTCCGTACCAAAAGCTGTTCAACTGGTGCAGCAATATTGGATGAAGAGGAGGAAAAGTAGGAAGGCAGAATCTGAGGCGTGATACTGCTGGAAATCGGAGGTGGAGGTGCAGGCACTGTAAACAGGGGGTCAACCTGAAAACAACAGACAAACTTACTATAATGGTGCTGAGAGATTTTTTTTTAATCAGTTTGCTTAGAATTGTATCAACTTTAGAGTACATAGGTATTTAGTATATCATAGGATGATTTCAGTCTTGCACTCTCCATTTTTTTACACGGATCCCACATGCTGCATATGAAAAAATTATAGAAAATCTGTCTTGCTAAACAAGACAAAACACTGAAGTTCTAAAAGAATATTCCCTGCAGCCTTAGACTACTAGCATGAAATAAAAAAAGAATTAAAGCCACTGTTTTTCTTGCCTCTGGCAGAAGACTGATTTGTGGATGGAAATTAGTTTTGCAAAATGGGAACAGCATTTTTCTTCCTTAAGAAAAACATTTATGAAGACAGTACAAAGACATAGAAATGCCATGTTCTTCTGTACACCATACAGCACTGATGTACATGGAACAACTCAAATACCCTATGCCATGAAACATGATCTCTTGTCATTCAAGCTTTTAAAACACATTAGACTCATCCAGCTGATAACACTCGGACACAATTCTATCTACTATCTACGCACTTACAATGTCAGAGATTATGACTTTTTAAACAATCACAACTGTCCCGCTAATTTATAAGGCTTATCAACACATACTGTTTATAAGAATAAAATTAGACAGACAGTTACACTATATGCCGATTTAAAAACAGCACCACATTTTTGCAGTTAATTATACCTGTGCAACAGGAATTTTTCTGCATGTGGGGCTTGATCCTGCAAGGTGCTGAGCATTTTGGTCTAACCTAGCAAAGTCCTTAGTCATGTGATGGGAATTTGTTTTAGTTTTCCATTCTGCATGCTCAGTCATATATTTACCCTTAAGCATTTCAAAGCTCAGTACTTTACTATGGACATAATGTTCTCTTCGTCACATAAAAACGGAAATAAAAGAGGAGGAAATGAGCTCCCAGTTAAACAGCTGAACCAGGCATCCTGTCAGCTTTTTGTTTATGTCAATTAAACAATCCTGTATACAGTTGTACATTAAAAGGATAAACTAATGTTCATTTGGTACATCTGAGCCAAGACTCAACCAAGAAACACTTCACCCATTTGAATGTTAAAAGTTTCTGCTTTCAAACTTGTAATAAAATTTCTTTACCTCTATGTTCCTTCACTGTTCTGCATCCCTGATAGTAAAGGCATTTAGAAGTTACATCCCTATATGTTTTGATTTATGTTTCATGTAAATGCAGCTTAAAGCAGATCAAAGTTCACATTGATGGTTACTCCTTTAAAGCCAAGTTGACAAATGTACAGAGAGGGAGGGAGATTACAGAGCACATGGTAATATCTATATTCTTTATATCCCAGAATTTTCATGATGAGAAAAATCTAATGAAAATATGAAATGACAAAACTTCTCAAAATTGTAATTTGTTCCACTCTAACAACAAAGACAGCCAATTTCTCGTTTAAGCACCATTCATACAATTGAAAATTGACACTCTCTAGCTATGCACACAACTCTGAATATATATGTAAGCACTGAAATTATTTCCTTAAAAATCACTTATTCTTCATCTTAATTGTTCATAAACAAATAGGAAGGAAATTATGATTGCAAGAGCACGAACAAGATGAAATGTAAAGATAACTGTTGGATTCTCATCTCAGTTACACTGGGGTAAGTGATGTAATTGAGATCAGATTCTTGTCCAACATACTTATGACATTAGGACTAACAACATTTCTGAGCTAAAAATAATAGACCAAACTTCTGAAAAGCACAGTCTAAATTTTTACCCACAATTCTGCATGTATAAATTTTTTGCATGTAATTGCATTTCTCAACATGTGTTAGTTATGTATATGTAAAATGCATTTGCAAGTACAAGCAGCATATGTAATGGTCTGACCTACATGCACAAAAGCAATTTGCACACTATTTTTTTTTTTTTTTTTTTTTTACTATTATACACTATTTAGTTTCTTGCAGTAATGGTTTAAAAATTAATTTTGTTTCATACAAGATAACACTACACATGGAGAAAAAAAATCAAAGAATGCAAATATTACAGCAATTTGTAAAACTGAAGGCCTGATTCTCCATTTCATTACGCCATGTTTACACCAGGGTGAGTCTACTGACTTCGATGGAGTTATTGTGGCATAAAAATGATGTGATACAGTACAGAATCAGAGCCTAGCGTCCTTACACTTATCCTTCTGCCATCAAAGTTGCAGAGGTAGGCAATAATAAAAGAAAGCTTTGCAGCATGGGCTGAAGCAGGCAGCTGAAATACCAGCTGACTCCCCAACAGCTGATCATTGCAAGATTTTCCTGAACTAAATATGAAATAAAAGAATACCTATGTATGAACAGCATTCAAAAGACACTGATTCTGTGCTACACAGATCCTGACAGTAGCTTGCTAGCAGAGAATTCCCCGGTGGTGGGGAACTACTAGCTGAGATAGAGCACATGGAACTGGCTCCTGTCATGGCAACCCTTGCCATCCGAGTGTAGCTCTGCATGGTAAATCTCCATTCCTAGTATAAGATGCCTTAGGGATCATATACCATTGACATAAAGTAGAGGAGCTCCTAAGATGCTCTAACTCACGCTGGCACAGAACCAGGAAGTCATAACTGGCACAGACAAGCCTCTACTTATTTCCCTCCTAAGCTGTGTGCTGCAGAGGAGAATTTGAGCCCTGTGCCTTTATAAAATTGAAAAAATGCTAAATGAATTGCCGGACTGATGATTTGCAGCGGGGAAAATTCCTGTGTCATAGATGACATCATTCTTCTATAGGATGTACTCATCACAAAGAGAGGAGAAACACTAAGTATTTGCTTCTGCAGAGCTAGAAAAAAAAGGACATATTTTAAATGGACAAAGACAATATGGCAGACTTTGTAATACTTTGGAAATGGGAAAAACAAACAATTGAAAGGGATAGAAGTGCATATTTGATACTGTACCCCTTTAGCTATTGTTATAAATAGTTTTATTCAGTTCTAGTTTCTCTCCACTTACTAATAAATATTTAGATTTTATTGTTACAAATACAATTCAGACATAAGGAACCAGGAGGGGGGAAAAGCTGCAGTGAATATTACAGTAAAAGGAAAAAGATTGCTTTGTGGAATTAACATAAAAATAAATCATTAGTAGAGAGAAAGATTTTACTGTCCTTCTGAGTGCCTGAAGTGAACATTTCCTCACGCATAATAAAAGTTGTGTGTAGCTTCACTAGTGCTCCAGTTTCCAATATTTTAAAATTATTTTTAAAAATTGCTTGATAATCATAAAGTGATAGTTCTCAGTGATCACTGTGGTGTCACAAGTGTTTTTTTATGAATGCTCAAAAGGGAACTGATGTAATCTATTAGAGTTAAAAAGAGAGGCAGGAAGGCCGCCATCTACAGTGGAAAAAAGGCACATAAGTTTCACATCTGGTGGTGGCAGTCTGTCAACCTGAGGAAAGTTAATGTCAAGAACAGACGCTCTGCCGTTTCTCACTGTTATTTTTGCATGATTGTTCCCAGGTGCTGGTACATGCTGAGCAGTAGCCTTGCTATTTATCACACAAGAGATTCCAAGGGGCGGGGGAAGTTGAAACACAGGAAGGTTATTTACACAGATCGTAGCTCTTAATGTACATAATCAAAGGGCTTAAAAAAATCTACAGAAATATTAAAGCAATATTTTCTACATTCACCTTATTTCAAGGGCTTTTGAGAGCTGATTAATAATGAAGGCTACAAAACTGGAGTGTTGTTTGTGGCAGCTTTCCATTGCAGAAAGTTTGATTGTATCAAGCAGTGGTGGTTCTCAGGACTAGAAAGCTGACTGCAAATGAAGAATGTCTGCCAATGAAGGGATAGTAAGTGCTCCAGTGAGCACATCTCCATCTGAAGATGACAAAACGATGGCTGCACTATGGATGCGTTGGTGACTGTATTTGGGTGGGAGAGTTTTAAGAGAGAAGAAATGTCATCTTAAGTGGAAACATGTGAGGATCTTAATGTATACAGATTTCCTTCAATTTCTCATTAGTTTTATTTTAGATACTGAAATTAAGCTCTGTGCATGACAGCCAGTCTTTCTGATGCAGTCACTAATCTCTAGAAGTACAGTCTTGGAACTTTAAAATTCTGCCTCTCCTACAGGTGGGTTTCCTGCCCTGCAGGGTGGATTCCATTGAACAACACTGAGTTCCTGTAAAAAAAGATAAGGCCTTCTGTCCTGTAGGAAGGAAGCATGTCTCCAAGGGCCTCACTACACCTTTGGAAAACCCATGCTGATGAAAAAAATAATCTGGACTGTACACAAACCTATGGATCCTGGGGTTGTGGTGACTGAAAAGTGATTTAGAATTTTGTTCTAATAAAAATGTTCTGACCTTTTCAGAGACTGTAAATAGATTACTTTAAATTATTAAATATGTCTTTGCTGTTACCTGGATATTTAGTTTATTTATTTAAACGTATTAAATATTTTTAAAAGGTATCTTGCTGAAACTCTAGATGTTCTTGACACAAATTGCAAAAGCAGGATAAATTATTAGCAGCCATAAAATAGCCAACAAACCTTCAACTATCAGCCCTGGTCCAGCAAAACACATAAGCAGGTTCATACTATAAGTATTTAAATAGTCTCACTGAAGTCATGACAACCGTCTTGCTGAATTAGGATCCACAGATCATGGTCTTCCCCCCCCCCACACACACACACATTTTTGAAAAAGGCTGAGTGAATAGATGTCCCTTGGAGAATGCTCTGAAGATCAACAGAACTGAACTATTTCGGACCAAGGTAGAGAAGTAGGTTCCAAGCTGAAAGCCCTTTACGGAGAACACTCTGCCACCAAACCTCCTCTTCTAAATCATAATGAATCTAGCTTGAGCACTTCTAGCTAATGTGGTCTTGGGATGCATTAGGCGAGGTATTTCTAGTAGGGATAAGGAGGTGCTGGTTCCGTTATACAAGGCACTGGTGAGACCTCATTTGGA